CCCCCTGCCCGGACACTGCGCACAGGAGGAGATGGCGGCTGTGGCTGCTCCCCGCCTCTCTTCTCGCGAGAAGCTCCAGTAATGGCGGCGCACGTCTGAGGAGACAAAGTCTATGGCGCCCCTCCCCCCAGGGCACACCAGCCTTGTTGCTTTGCTTTTTTTTACAATTTATGGGGGACCGAGGTTGTTCTGCTCCGTATCCTCTCCCAACCTCGGCGCGCAGCCCCCTGCCGTCCCCCGGGGCTGCCTCAGCACAGCCGCCCCTGTCCTCCGCCTGGTTTGGATGGCCTGTCCTGGCCCCAGCTGCCGGCTCGCGTCTCGGGCTGGGTGTCGTGGGGACCCTCTGTGCCCGTTTAACTCAGTTCTGTCGGTCAAGGGGTGCTTGGGGCAGATCTGAACCTCGGAGGTTCCGCCTCCATCCCACTGGCCTGTCCGTTGGAGAGGGGAGACCCAGCGAACAAGTGCCATTCCTCCTTTGCTGCTCCCTCCCTGCGGGATCGGTCTCGCACTGTTTTGCTTTTTGTTCTTTTTTCCTTTTTTCCTACCAGAGTTTTGGCGTCTTTGTCTTTCGAAGAGGGCAGTGTTCTGTCGGAGTTTGGCAGGTGCTCTGGTTGGCTGAGTGGGTCCGTAGATGTGAGTTTTGGTGTATTTGTGGGAGAGGGTGAGCTACAAGCATCCTTCTATTCCGCCATCTTGCTTCTTCCTGATATTTATTTTTCTAATGTGTTTTGCCCTTGCCACAAGTTTCTTTGCATTTATGATCAGCATATTCTTCAAAAAAGGTGAGTCCTGATACAATTTTCTGTCAGCGAGTGTGTTTATGACTTCTTTTTTCTGCTATCATTGCTATTCACATTACCTGTGGCATTATATATTGTTCCTTCAGAGTTAGGTTTTCACTTTTATGGTGATTTTTAACAATGGAATTATTCTATTTCCCATTAAAGACTTAGGGAATCATCTCCTTATATATGCTTTTATGCTTCACTTGGCTTCCACATATTTTTTCAAGTGGATGCAAGTCCCGTTTTGGAAGGAAATAAGGGGTAAGACATCCACGGCAGATAATTTTCCAGGTCTTGATTGTGAAGTTGGGCATAATAGTAGGGTACATAACATAGTAAGAAAGAAATTCTTGGGATTTTGGTTCTGTCAGGAAGGGTGTTACCTCTAAAATGACAGGTAGAACTAATGAACCATAAAGGACAAAAATAGTAGGAAGTGGAGTCCAAGTCAGAGTGCAGGAGAATTGAGTTGTGGTTCAACCAAAAGAGGTGTATGTAGATAGAAACATTAATGGCAGACAGGTCCAGCAGTTGGTGACCACCCCCAAAAAGAGAGTTTTAGAGGACGGGCAGAAATCAAAATATGGTATAAATGAAGCCAGGCAGTTTATTATTTATATTTGTGAATGTTTTAATCAATTAGTGTTTCTAATACGTGGAACCTGGAAAATATTGGCTCTACCAAGATGGGGATGGATTCTTTGAGAGGCCAAATGGGCCTGTACACTGTGTCCTGATTAAGATTCTATGCCTTATTTCCCACTTCTCCTGCTATTGTTTTAGGTTGGGCATGGCAGGGGTGTTGGTCAAGTAAGTTATGTGGGGAACTTGGAGCAGGTATATCAAAGGATGCCTGAAACTTGAGGCTGAAGGAACGCTAAAGGTTGAAATCTGAAAAGTTGAACTTGCATTCAAGTACAAGAAATAAACAGAGTGTGGGAAATAAAAGACAAAACCAGTGAGGTCAGAAGCACAATAAATCAGGACCAGAATGAGGAGCAATTATCAGGGAAGAGTGCCAAGCAAAAGCGAAATATACTACATAACTCAAAATTGATGATCAATTGATTTTTGACAAAGAGGCTAGGACAACTGAACAGACAAGAAATAGTCTGTTAAACTAATGGTGCTGGAACAACTAGATTATCCACAAATAAAACAGTGAAGTTGAACCTCTACATCACATCATACACAGAATTAACTCCAAGTGGATTATAAACCTAAGTGTAAGAAATAACTAAACTATAAAACTCTTGAAAGAAAATACAGGAGTAAACCTTCGTGATCTTGGGTTAGACAGTGATTTCTTAGGTATGACACCAAAAGCCCAAGTGGTAAAAGAGAAGATTGATAAGTTGGACTTCATCAACATTAAAAACTTGTATACTTCAAAGGACACCATCAAGAAAGTGAAAAGAAAACCTACAGATGGAGAAAACATCTGCAAGTAAAATATATCATAAAAGATTTGTATCCAGAAGAAATAAGGAAACCTTACAACTCAAAAATAAAAGCACAGATGTTTCTAACTCATTCTATAGGCAGCATTACCTTGATACCAAAGCCAGAAAAGACATCATAATAAAACTACAGACCAGTACCCCTTATGACTAACAAAGGGGAAAGCCTCAACAAAATACTAGTAAATTAGATCTAGCAGCATTTTAAAAGGATTATACACTATACCAAGTGGGATTTATCCCAGGGATGCAAGAATGATCCAACAGATGAAAGGCGATCAATGTAATACACCACTTAATAGAATGAAGAGAAAAACATGTTTTATTCATTTTTATTTATCACAGTTGATAAAAGCTTGTGACAAAGTCCAACACCTCTCATGATTAAAAAAATTTTTTAACGAACCAGGATATAAAGGAACTTCCTCAATCTGATAGTGAGCATTTGTGAAGACCCCACAGCTAGCATTGTGTTCTGTGGTGAAAGATTGAAAGCCTTCCCCCTAAAATCAGGAACAAGAAAGGAATACACACTCTCCCCTCTGCTAGTCAACATTGTACTAGAAGTTCAAGCCAGAGCAATTAAGAAATAAAAAGCATGCAATTTGAGAGGAAGAAGTAAAAGTATCTCTAGTCAAGGATGACAATATCTTATATTTAGAAAGTCCTAAAGTATCTACAAAAGGAACTCTTAAAGAGTTTATAAATGAATTCAGCAAATTTGCAGGACACAAGATCAACACACAAAAATCAGTTGTTTTTTTATACACTAGCAATGAACATTCTGAAAAGGAAATCAAGAAAACAATTCCACTTGTACTAGCACCCAAAATAAAATACCTAGAAATAAATCTGACCACGGAGAGGAAAGACTTGTACAACCGAAAACTACAAAGCATTGCGAAAAGAAATCAGAGAAGACTTAATGAAAAGACATCCCAAGTTCTTTGTGGATTGGAAGACTTAAGATGGCAACACTTCCTGAATTGATCTACAGATTCAATTCAATCTCTATTAAAATCCCAACTGCCTTTTTCTCAGAAATGGATGAACGGATCATAAAATTCTTATGGAACTGCAAAAAGCCAAAACAATTTTGAAAAAAAAAGTTGAAGGACTCACACTTCATGATTTCAAACTTACTACCAAGCTATAGAGATCAAAACAGTATAGTACTGGCATAAGGGTAGACATACAGATCAATGGAATAGAATTGAGAATCTAGAAATAACTCATACATCTAATTGCCAGCTGATTTTTGACAAGGGTGCCAAAGCCATCCGATAGGGAAAGAATAGTCTCTTTAACAAAGGATGTCAGCACAACTGGAATGCAACTTGGACTTCTACCTCACTTCATTCCATATGATGGCTGAATAATATTCCCCACATTTTGTTTATCCATTCGTCTGTTGATGAACACTGAGTTGTTTCTACCATTTGGCTATTGTGAATAATGCTATTATGAACATTCATATACAAGTATCTGTTTGAATCCGTTTTCAGTTCCTTAGGGTATATACTTAGTGTAATCACTGGGCCATATGGTAATTCTCTTTAACTTTCTGAGGCATCAGCAAATTATTTTCCACATAAGCTGCACAATTTTGCATTCCCATCAGCAATACATGAGGGTTTCAATTTCTTTGGAGAAATGTCTATTCAAGTCCTTTGCCTACTTTTTATTTGCATTTTTTTGTTGACATTGAATTATAGGAGGTCTTTATGCATTTTGGATATTAATTCCTTAGTAGATACATGATTTGGAAATATTTTCTTCCATTCTGCGAATAGCTTTTTTACTCTCTTGATGGTGTCTTTTGATGCATGAAAGTTTTTAAAATGTTGAAGTCCAGTGTATCTATTTTTTCTATCATTGCCTGTTTTGTTGGTGTCATACTTAAGAAATTGTTGCCAAATCCAAGGTTATGAGGATTTTCCACTAAATTTTCTTCTAGGAGTTTTACGGTTTTATCTTATGTTTAGATCTTTGATCCATTTTGAATTAATTTTTGTGTATGTTATAAGGTAAGGGTCCCACTTCATTCTTTTGCATGTAGATATCCAGTTTTCCCTGCAACATTTGTTGAAAGGCTGTCTGTTTTGCCATTGAATACTCTTGGCATCCTTGTCAAAAATCAATTGATCATATTTGTGAGGGTTTATTTTCAGGCTCTCTGTTATATCCCATTGGTCTTTATATCTAGAGTTTGCAAAGGATTGGTGTCAATTCATCTTTAAGTGTTTGGTAGAATTCACCAGAGAGACCATCTGAATCATGAGTTTTCTTTGCTAGGACAGAACCTGAGAGACCTGTAGGACACTATCAAACATACAAACATACAAACATACACATCACAAGGGTCCTAGAATGAGAAGAGATTGAGAAAAGAAACAGAAAAAATATTTGAGGAAATAATGGCTGAAAACTCCCTAAATATGATGAAATACATGAACACAAGCCCAAGAAGCTTAATGAACTCCAAGCAAGATAAGTTCAAAGAGACCCACAGCAAGAGTCATTCCAATTTTCAAAACCCAAAGACAAAAGAGAGCATTTTGAAAGCAGCAAGAGAGAAGACTCCCCACATACAAGTGATCCTCAATAAGATTAACAGCTGATTTCTCTACAGAGTCTATGCAATCCTGAAGGTAGTGAAATGATATTTTAAATCTTGAAAGGAAAAAAAAAACCTCAACTAAGAATTCTATATCTGGCAAAAAAAATCCCTCAGGAATTATGGAGAAATTAAGATACTTTCAGATAAACAAAAGCTGAGAGAGTTTGTTATTAGTAGGCCTTCCCTTCCCTGCTAAAGGGAATTCTTCTGGCTGAAATGAAAAGCCACTAGACAGTAACTCTAAGCCATATGAAGAGATAAAGACCACTGGTTAAGTTAACTAAAGTCAATGGCCAACAGGTACGTGAAAAGATGTTCAACATTGCTACTTATTCAAGAAATGCAAATCAGAATTACGATGAGGTGTCACCTCACATTAGTCGGAATGGCCACCATCAAGAAGTCTACAAATAATAAATGCTGGAGAGGGTGTGGAGAAAAGGAACTCTTCGACGCTGTTGGTGAGAATGTAATTTGGTGCAGCCACTGTGGAAAACAGTATGGAGGTTCCTTAAAAAAACTAAAAATAAAGTTACCATGTAATCTAGCAATTCCAGTCCTGGGCATATATCTGGAAAAGATGAGAACTCCCACTTGAAAATACCTGATTCCTAGTGTTCAATCAACATTATTTATGATAGCTAAGACATGGAAGCAGCCTAAGTGTCCATCAACAGATGAATGGATAAAGAAGATGTGGTATACATGTACAATAGAATATTACTCAGTCATAAAAAAGAATGAAACAACACCATTTGCAGCAACATGGGTGGACCTAGAGTTTATCATACTAAGTGAAGTAAGTCAGAGAAGGACAAATATTGTATGATTATATGATATCACTTACATATGGAATCTAAAAAATAGTAAAAATGAACTTACTTGCAAAACAGAAACAGACTCACAGACGTAGAAAACAAACTTTTAGTCCCCAAAGGGGAAGGATGGGGAAGGAATAAATTAGGAGTGTGGATTAACAGATACACAATACCATATACAAAATAGATAAACAACATGTATGTACTGTAGAGCACAGGGAACTATGTTCAATATCTTGTAATAATAACCTATAGTGGAAAAGAATCAGAAAGAGAAAGAGAACTGAATCACTTTGCTATACACCTGAAACCACAACAATATTGTGAATCAATTATACTTCAAAAAAAATTTTTAAAGGTAACTAAAGCCAATATTATTGTACTTCTGGTTTGCAACTCCTGTTTTTTTCCTAAACAATTTATAAGTCCAATACATAAAACTATTTATAAACCTATGTTAATGGGCACACAATGTATGAATATATAATCTGTCACAATAACACTGTAAAGGGGGAGGGACGGAGATGTGTATGAGCAGTGTTTGCATACTATTGAACGTAGGTGGTATTATTTAAATTTGGCTGTTGTAGGTTTAAGATGTTAATTATTATATAGTTTGGACTTTTAAGCCATGTGTGTTACTTTCCTATGACTGCTATAACAATCTACTACATACTCCGTGGCTGAAAATGACACATATTTATTATCTTACAACAACACCTAAAGTCTCAAGTGTATTTCTGTGGGCTAAAAGTAAGGTGTAATCTCAACTGAGATTATCAGACTTTGGTTCGATTGTTTTTTTCCTGCAAATCTGGAGCCATTGTGCTTAGAGCCTGGGAAACGTTGAAACCTTGACTCATCATTTACTAGTTCCATGATATTGAGCAAATTTATTTAATGTGGCAAAACCTCAGTTCCTTCCTCTGAAAAACAGGGAGGTTATGGCAATTAAATAAGATACTGTATATAAAGTGCTTGCTGCAGCGCCAGGAAACGCTTAATAGATGCTATATAATCTACCACTCATCTTTGTAGACGAGGATTTTCCTTGCAGGAGATGTTATTAATGCAGTATTAGACAGAGGATGTTTTAGGCAGTTAAATGGTTCTGCTTTTCTTGAGGGGAGGGGTAAGGATTGGTTTATTTTTTAAGTGCTGCAAATGCTCTTAGTCTTTCAATAGTGAAAGTGCAAGTATAAAAGGTTTCTGTCAAAATTTCTTGAAGGATGGCTCCCCTTCTGAAATCATAAAACATCGCTTCTCGGCCTTTTGGCTAAGATCAAGTGAAATCGTAAAACAAATACAAAGATGCTGTCCTTATCACGGCAGGGGAACGGGGCTTGCATCATGCTTCTTCGTGTGTTGTTGATGGAACTATTTTTATTTCTTCCCTCTGAATTTGCAGCTCACATTGCAACCGCCTCAGGAGGCATCATCTTCTTCCTCACCTACCTTCTGTACCTGTATATCACTTTCAGCTACATCCACAGGAGCCACTTCCAAAAGATTGCCCTTTGTCTCCTCTCAAGTGTTGCCATGGCACTGGGAGTCCGACTAATCTCCGCATTGGAGACAAAAGGTGAGCTGCCTTGATGTTTTGCCATTTGCTGACTGGCAAAGCTGACCTTCCTTTCCAAATAAACAACTTGCTCATGTCATTCAGCATTGTGCACGTTTGCAGTGTACTTCATCTGTGGCAGGTACTGTAAGGAACACTAAAGAAATATAGAGTAAGATTCACACCATGCAGCGTACAAGGTAGTTTGGGAAGAAAGACTAAAGTATATTATTGATTTGGGGAATTATGTGCCTATATAATTGTATAGGTATAAAATATAGAGACTTATGATTAGACATTCAAATAACACTTTAGAACTTTATAGATAATATCATGCATTCCATACTTTATTCTCCTAGGCTTCAGTGTTGGTCTTCTTTCACAAGTTGGTCCAGGGGACCTTCCATCAGAGATTTTCTAGCTCCCTTACAACCTCCACAATTTGGGGTTGGAAGCACAACCCCAAGTTTTCATTGTCTCATTGTTTGAAGAACTTCTCAGAATACCTGCAGTCATTGCAGAAGATTGTGGCCAGCATATAAGTCAAAATGTAGGACCCACTGAGCTCTGTAGGGTTTTAGTACTTGCTGAATGGAGCTGTTCCACATTGCAGGGGTACTAAGATGATCTGCTGTGAACACTCTAGCAAGTGCTTTCATCGCTCAGTGTTAACTTTTACCACCAGAGTCACCTAAGTCCCAAATGATACAGCTTGTTTTAGCAGCAGGTAGCAAGAGTAGGAGTTATAAGTTGGATCTAGTTTGCAGGTCCCCTTACTGCAAGTGGGATAATCTCCAATGACTGGTTAGAGGCATCACCTACCAATGAATTTCTTTATTAAGTTATAATTGTCTAAATGGCTTAAGGGAGCTTAAAATTTAATAAAGGATGTTAACTTGACCAGAATTTATTGAAAATGAGTAGTTTTCTTTAACAAAACAATATTGGGACCATGATTTACAAATACTTATGGGGGAATAAGATTTGAAATGGTATCGTAATTTCTTACATGTTAGTGATGAATAAAGGTACTTTATGGAGCATATCTGTTTGAAGTTGAGGAAACTTAGGTGAGTGGTTGGACTGGATGAGCTGTTAGATTTGTTCCCATGCTAAGATTCTCTTGGTTTGGAGGCACTCCGCCCTCATAGAATTTATGATCAATGTTCCTTCCTGAAAGGCACAGGGTAGCTCACAAATGCTGTCTGCTGTTACCGCTGAAGGAGATGTAAATGCAGATGATCATAAGCAGGTAAAAATTGCTAAGGATATAACTGATGAAATGTTAGAAATCCAAGGGCAGTATTGCTTATTTAAATCCTCATACTTTTCACTGGATTAGATTTTTCTATTCATCTGACCTATCTGTTCAAATCAGATTGCAGGCCTTATAGTGAGTGAATAGGCAGAATTCCTCTGTGCTTTTTCTCAGTAAGTCTAGTGCAGAACTTTCATTTCCAATCTTGAGCAGAGTTCACTGTTTGCAACATGAATCAGAGCTCTGGCTGTATGGCAGAAATATTTTGGCCTCTTCTTAAAATCAGAACCCATGCATTTGTGGAGCAGCTGGGTTTGTCACTGGAGACTTCCATTTATCGACTTATTTGTTAATTTATTATTTACTAGATCGGTTTTAGTATTGAAGAGGCCCAATAAATAGCACCCTTATCCCCTCCTTAATTTCTGAGCCAATTGAGAAACAAAACAGAGATGTCATCGTATTAATACCAAAATATCCTTTTATAACTAATTAGGATGATGTTGCTTAGTGTGAGAGTCAGGTGGACCTGCTGGTTCCCTGCCTCACAGTGTCCTCTTTGGGACAATCCATCTGAGACAAAGATTAAGCCAGCAGGCCAGACACACTAATTCAGCTGCCTTTCACTTCCTGGAGTGGAAAGAAACAAAATTTCACCCCTCCTCTGGTTTAGGTACCCCAACAAATTAGCTAGATCCAGTTGTCAAATGTGGATCTTGTTGCTTATCAGAAATAGGAGTATTCTACTTCTGTGGGGAGAGTAAGCCGTGGGCAGGAGGCCAGCAGATTTAGAGAAAAATCCCCACTCATGGAAAGCTGAGCAGTGGCGAAGAGGCACTAGCATCCAGTGACAGTAAACTGCGAGAGCAGGTATCTCGTCTGCTTTGTTTACCACTCTCGGTCCTCAGTGTCTAAACTGTGGTCTGATAAAATGTAGGCACCCAGTATGTATTTGTTAAGTGAATGAATGAATGGATGGACAGGATTGGCTTTCTGGTGGGGAAGTGCCCTAATCAAGGTTCTACTGAGAGGGGAAAAACCGGAAGGGCTTCCTAAGGAGTCTTTAAAAGGAAAGTTATCTAGTCTTCCATTTCCAATAATTGTATCTAGGTTATCTAGATCATCCCTCCTGTTGAAAATAATGGGAAAAAATGGGATAAATTTTAATCTCTTAAGAACATCCTTTAAGAAAAGCAAAGTGTTCACACATGATGGTGAAGAACCACTAGGCCAAAACCTTAGGGAAACTTGTGACCCCAAAAGGTAAACAGCACCAAAACCACTTTATGCTCAGAGGTCATTTGCTAACAGGAAACCCTTGGGCTTCCATTTGCACAGCCTTTTGAGGCAAGGGAGCTCGACATCAAGGCCCAGGTCCCCACCCAGGTAGAGAGCATAACAGGAGACCCTCCTGACAGTAACCTGGGCCCCAGAGACAAATTCACTAGCCACAGGTTAGGCTCTCTGTGACACAAACTCTGAGATGGAGTTTAGTATGCAACTTGTTTATTAGGGAATAGCCTTGGGATCAATTCCTGTAGAAGGAAAGAGATTCAAATAAGATTAGTCACAGCTACAATGCAGCACTGGCAGCCTTGAGGAGTTACGAGAGAAAATAGCCCATCTGAGCATCCTGCACTGGGCTGAAATGGCCTGGCCTGTACACCTCTGCCTCCATCAGCCACTGGTCATGGGCAACCCAGGAAAGGGCATGACCCAGGGCTGGGCAGCTCTGCAGCTGAGAGGTCCCTGAAGAGGCTGCAAGCTGCAAGCCCTCAGCACAGCACTCCTGAAAACTGAAGCAACAATTTTCTTGAAGGGGATCAGGGAAGTTCATCTCTGTGTTCATATGCTCACCCCATCATAACCAAGAGAATCTTGGGGAAGGTTATCATGGTGCTGACCATATACAAGAGAAAAAAAACAAAAGAGAAAATTGTCCCTGAGAAACTGTTACACATTAGTTCTTTGGTGGATTTGTAGTCCAGGTTCATCTTGTATGAGGAGTCTCAAGCAGTGAACTGATTTTAGGGGGTCCTGGAATGATAGAGCCCCCAGCCAGGTTCCTGGCAGAAGCACTTTCTTCCTATATCATGGTGAACCCTCACAAATAGTTTTTTAAGGGCAATAAGCAACATAGTAAAAAAATAATTAAAAACATAATGACATAAACCACCATGAATGAGAAGCAACAGAAACAAGAGAAAGTAGAAACAGATTCACAAAGTTTCATATTTTTTAATGATCAGAACACAGATGATTAAACAATAGTGCTTATTACATGTTTTTCATAAAAGCAAGCTTGAAAATATCTGCAAGAATAGGAACTAAGTGACCCAGAAATATGAAAAAGAAGGATGAAATACTTCTCTTGAAATGTAAAATACAATCAACAAAACAAAAAACTTAATGGATGGGTTAACGGTAGATTTGAAATAGCCGAGAAGAGGATTAGTGAACTGGACGTAGGTTCGAAGAAATAATCTAGATGGCAGCACAGAAAATTAAAAAGATTAAAAATATGCAAGAAAAGAATGAGAAGGGCTTACATACATTTTAGTAGAGTTCCAATAGCAAAAAAAGAGACTAGGGCAGAGAAAATACATTTGAAGAGATGGTGGCGAAACCTGTTCTAAAACTGGATTTTAGGAAGCTCAGCAAATCCCAAATAAGATTAACAGTAAATATACATTAGACATACCAATATAAAGCTGAACGCACCAGAGGGCAAGAGAAAAATCTTAAAAGTAGCCTGAGGGAAAAAGACAAGTTGCTTTTCAAAAGAGCCTAAAGACAGTAGTTTTATACATTGCATAAAATAATAATAATGATAATGATGTCTTTAGGGTTTTTAAAGAGATAGAATTAAAATACGTAAGAGGGATTTTGACGCGATTAAAGTCAGAAATCAACAGGGATAAATATTTTCTGGAAGGAGAGTAAGGATATTGATTAACTTTAGACTTTGCTAAATAAAATAAACCTAGTAATTCGTTACTGAGCCAACCAGGAAAAGGCTAGAAACAGTGTATAACTTTCAAATCTAATAGAGAGAGGATGGAGTAACTAAAAGATTGGTTGGGTCAAGATCAAGGGGGATGGGAAGAGGAATTCTGTCACGTGGCCACTTCAAATGCAAGAGAGACTGAGAAGTCAGGAAACAGGTCCATCATACTTGATGTAGAACTATCATGATCAAACAGATGTGTGGGCAGGGGAAGTTTGCCAAATTCCTTTCAGCAGCGCCCTGCTCTCAAACATAATTAAATCAACTGTGGAAAGAAGTAACATCTAACTCCTACCCAATCCAAACTCCAGCAGTTTTTTTTAATGGAACTTGAGCTGATTCTCAAATTTAAATGAGAGTATAAGGACCAAGAATAGCCAGGAGCTCTTGAGGAAGAACAAGGTAAGTAAACTTGTTTTGCTGGATTTCGTGATTTATCATAAAGCAATAGTAATTAAGATTATGGTTGACAAATAGACTGATAGAACAGAAAAGAAAGGCCAGACAAACGCATTGTTAAATGTCAGAGATGATACTTCAGAGCAGTGGGATTTAATAAATGATGGTGAAGTAACTAAAGAAGCTTATGGAAAAAACTGAAATTGGACTCCTAATTCACACCATACACAGAAATCAATTCCAGTGTCAAAAAACTATAAGGTTTTTTGGAGATGATATAGGAGAGTACATTCATGTACTTGAAGTAGGAAGGATTTCTTACATAAGACACAAAAATAACTAACCATACAGAAAAGACAGATAAATATGACATTAAAACTAAGACACCATGAAGAGAATGAAAAGAGAAACTACAGTGTAGGAGAAGATATTTGAAACCCATTTAACCTACAAAAAGCTTGTATCCAAAATATTTTAAAATTCATAAAATCAATTAAGAGTCATACTTTGTAGTGAAAAAAGGCAAAAAGACTAGAATAGGTACTTCTTGAAAAAGTATATCCAAATAGCTAATAAACATATGTAAGCTAGAAGAAGATGAAATGACATATTTCAAGTGCTGAAAGAACCCTGTCAACTCAGAATTCTATCCAGGGGAAATTTAGGAAAAAAATGAAGACTCTCTCAAGTAAACAAAAGTAACAGAATTGTGATTGCTAGGACACATCACAAGAAATGTTGAGTTCTTCAGGCAAAAACAATATCATATCAGACAGAAATTTGGATCTACACAAAGGAATTAAGAACACTAAAAATGGAAAACACAATTTATTCTGTCTTCTGGGAGGTTTTTTTGGCTCTAAAAGAGAACTGACTATCTAAAGCAAAAACAGTAGCAATGGTGGGGAGGATGTAGCTCAGTGGTAGAGTGCATGCTTAGCATGCATGAGGTCCTGGGTTTGATCCCCAGTACCTCCATTAAATAAGTAAATAAAAACCAAATTGCCTCCCATCCCCCCCAAAATTAAAAGGTGATGCATGCTACCTGCTGTCTGGCAGCAGATGCAGGGTATCTTGGATACTTTAAATGAGAATCTCAGTCAACTTGCATTCAGATCAGACGCACGGCATCCCATAGGACACTTAACTTTATGCGCAGCCAGCAATTGATCCCAAGCCCTTCCTCAGCACTTTCCTTTCTTTGAGGAATATGTATGTATTGAGCACCTGTAGCATGTGAGGCCCTGGGTCACATGTTGGAGATACTGAGATAGAAGATAGTCCCTGGCTCCAAGCTGGGGCCAGCAATAAGCAAGCAGGTTCAAAGTGCAGATGCTCAGGGTTAGCACAGCGTGACCCAGATGCACGAGGGTTAGGCATGTAACCCAAAGAGAGTGAGTATGCATGCTGACCTTTGAAATAAGAATCAGCCGAGCAAAGAAAGTGGGGAAGAACAGGAAGGGCTCTCCAGGCAGCATGTGCAGGAGTGTGGAGATGTGTCTCGGATGAACACATTTCTACTTCTGGTGCCAACAAACCAGTTTGGCAATAATAAAAATGTTTTATCTCATAGAAGAATCTAACAACTAGCTTTTCCTTTCCTGCGCCTAGCTTGTGTCCCTGAACACCCTAGACACAAATAGTCCAGTCTTCTCATTGGCCTGGCCTCCAACTGCTTGATTGGAAAGTTCTGGTATCTATTCTCTGTCTTCGATGGGGTGACTGTTTTCCTTCCTTTGGAGCAGGTGTGGGCATCCAGTGGAGGAACATGGGCAGTATAAGAGGAGAGCTTAACTTCACTCAGGTGCTGCTGATGCTTCTACTGGACTCCTTCTTGTATGGCTTGGTGGCCTGGTAAATGGAGTCCATCTTCCCAGGAAAGTATGGTGCATCCAAGCCTTGGTGCTTCTTTCTCATGGTGAGTGCTGATGCTGCTCTTTTACAGGTTGACAGTAGAGTTTTTACAGCTTGTCATCAATATTCCTGTCCCTCTCGGTGTTGGTTGAATCTCAAACTCCTGGAAATCTAAGCAGGGTTCTGTAACCTGGATTCACCCCAAGCCTATCAGCTTGTAGTTGCCAAAGAAGCCTAACTAACAAGGCTCAGTTTTCCTGACTCGCCTCACCGCTGATGCCCTATGCAGAGTCCTCCCAAGAATGCCCGTGGTTGTCTTACGTGTGCCTACTCAATGTCAGGCCCTGCATTCTCCCACAGAGTGCCACCCCAACAGGCTAGAGCCCTCAGGACTCCGAGGCCTTTCCTCTTTGGGCTGTTGGAAAGGTCCTGCAGCTCTCTGAGACCTCTGTAACCCCGGAGTGTGGCCAGGGGGCACAGCTTTCATTGACAACCCCACGAAGCTCTCAGAATCACTTCTCCCCTGTGGTGACTAAATTTTTCTTACAAAGCTGAGCTCATCGTGCCTGATCCCGTCCTCCTGCAGACTTACCCTGACCCTGTCGGAACTGCACAGGTATGCACTTTGGGCCTTGGCAAAGGCTGCTACGCTTGCCCTTCTTGGTATGTGGAGAATTGGGTAGATTGTTAACTCCAGTATTTCGCCAGGCCTCAGCCCACAGGGATGCCAGTTGCTGACATGACAGCTTTCCCAGTATGCCAGGAACGTGGACAAGAGACATCTTTTGTTGTTCCATCTTCCCTCTGGACCATGGGTTGTAGGTTGAAATGCAGTGTATTAGTAGTGAAGTGAGTCGTGAACAAATTGCTTGGCTTCTTCAGGCGCCATTACGTGTTCGATACCAGGAAGCTCTGGTGCGCAACGCTGGGATAGGGGTGGGGTTGGCGGGAGGGAAGCATGAGAATTTAATTTGCCAAAATATTTATCTTCCAGAAGAAGAAAGTCAGTTCACCTAAATGTATTTATGTAAGTTGGCTTCCTCTCTAGCCCTCCCACTGGCGTGGACAATCTATATCCCTTACGAAATCAGTGCTAGACTTGGGGAATCCTCAGAAAGCTCTGAAAGGCACGTTCATTCAGGAAGAGCCTACCGATTTGATGAAAAGAATTGAAATCCAACATCTATACAAGGTATCAGCTCACAATTCTTCTTCCAAAAACTTGAGAAATGTGCACAGAGGCTTCTGTTTCAGTCTGACAGTGGTTACAAGGTACATTTCATGATAGGTTTTAATTCCGTTCTATAATGTTACCCTCAAAATTAGGAGTATAACGTAAAGTGTCCTGTTTTCTGTCATAAAGTTAAATGACTGGATGGAAGGTCTAGATAATCTCTCTTGAAACAGTCTTGCATGTGCCAAACACCTCTTGCCAGGGATACCCTGGACCTTAGCCATTGGATGGCTACCTTTGTTTTGCCAGCAGTTTTTACAAAACCACATCAAACAGTAAACCAGATTTCACGGTTGTCTTCCAAATGCAGAACTGTTTGCTCTTTCACCAGTGTTTGCTGAGCCCTGCACTGGCTAAGGACTCCCCCAGAAGGATGTCTGGATGTAAGCTCTGTACTCTGGCGTGTCCTCCAGAGCATTATTTTTTTGTTTGGAGTGTTCCATTCTTCCAATAGGATGAGCCCAAGGATCGGTGGTGTCCTCTGTATGACTGATGCTGTATGACTGATGCTGTAGTCAAAGTGCCAGCTCCTTACTTTGCATCACCTTCCTCTGCCTGCGGGATCAAGTGGATCACATCCTAGCCCAGGGCATTCATGGCAAGCATGGTCATTCCAGCTCCTTCACATACTGTGGTAGCAGCTGGGGATGCTCCAGGCTTCACCCAATTTGCTGTGACTTAAAAAGGCAGGGATTTTGTTTTCTTTTTCCACACAAAAAGCAGTCTGCAGGCTCGTGGTTCTGGCCTGATTTCAGCTGCTCAACAAAGCCGTTCCAGCTCTTTCTGCTCACTTGCTTTCACTGAGTTTCCCTGGGCCAGTGGAAGCATGTAGCTTTCATCTCTGTGCTTATCAGTTCAGGGTGGCAAGACAGCTGCTGCAGCTCATTTATAGGGAAAGACAAGAGCAAAGGGTGTTCTTGTGGAGAGATTTTTTTTCCTTCTTTCTTTTTTGCCCTTCAGTAGATCATCCTATATTCTTACTGCCCAGAAGTCTGTCACATGTCCACCTCTGCAGAAGAGGGACTGAGAAGTCAGGGAAGAGGACTGTCATACTTGATTTAAAATAACCACCACCAAATGGATGTGGGAGGAGAGGAATTTGCCAAATTCCTTTCAGCGGCACTTTGCTCCTAAACACAATTAGATAAATTGTGGGAAGAAGTGCTGCATCCCACCCAACTGTAGTGTCTGCACTCCAGACCTGGAGTCCAGCCCGAATGCAGTCAGACAGGACAGAAACTGTCTGAGGCGTGTACTGAAGTGTGATGTTGTTTCTGAGAGTGGCACTGTGGGTGATTTTATTTTCTTCCTTATATCCTTATATATGAATCACTTACACAATAAGAAAAAATAAATGGTATTTAAAATACTGGAAACATTTGATTTAGAGAACAGGCCTCTCTGTCTGGGATTCTCTCCGTAGATCAACACCTCCCACAAGAGGCGACCCCTTTTTCAGGGGCTTAGCCAGGTAATGCAGAACAAGGTGTAGCTCGAGAAGCAGGGAAAAGATGTTCTGTTTGAGCTCTGAGCCCTTCGTCCTTGAGCTCTGGCCTCTGTGGCTCTGGTGCTGTACTACCAGGTTCCAGAGGCCACAGAGGCCCCCCTGGCATTGCTCCCAGTCAGGTTCCTCAGTAGCTCCAGGAAGCTAAACTCTGACACAAGGGCTCCTTTTATAGCTGTCCACTTGGATTCCTGCTGATGAACTTAGAAGGGAAGTTGGTGTGGGTGCCCGACCTGTCATAGGTTCTTCAGAAATGCCACGTGTGTGTGCACGTTATTTGTTGGTCATACTCTGGCTTTTTCACAGGTGTTTTACAAGGGAAGGGATGAACACATAGCAGTCAAAGATCTGACCATGAATCTGTACCGGAGGCAGATCACTGTTCTCCTGGGACACAATGGATCAGGCAAAACCACCACTTGCGGCATGCTCACAGGTATACGTGTGGGGTCAGCCCTCCTGAGGAACCCTGAAGAAACTGTTGAACAGATCTAGATTTTTGGCTCCATTGCCCCTTATTAGATTTCACTGACATTTTTGTTTGTTGTTTATTGTTTGCTTATTTGGGTTTTTTTTTAACCATCTATGAAGTACCTGATTGTTCACATTATCCTGTACTGGGGAAAAGAAATCTTTGACTCAGTCAGTTGGAGAAACTTAACATTCATACACTATCAAGAAGCCATGGACACTATTTCGAATGTGTCTTTCCAGGTAGAACTTCCAGGTACAGTGAGGCACCATTAATCTCTCAACCCAACAATTCATCCATTTACTTTTGATTGTCAGGGGCATTTTAGAATGATACCTGGTGAATTATTCTAAAATTATTTGTTTCAGAATAATTTGTATGTCTAAATAATTCTTTTTTATTGAAGTATAGTCAGTTTACAATGTTGTGTCAATTTCTGGTGTACAGCATAACGTTTCAGTCATGCATATACCTACATATATTCATTTTCACATTCTTTTTCATTATAGGTCACTACAAGATACTGAATATAGTTCCCTGTGCTATACCTAAGAAACTTGTTGTTTATCTATTTTATATATAGGCCTAAATAATTATGTCACATTCCATCAACTAAAATAATATTCTGATATTTGAAAACTCATTCATTCAAGAAATATATATTTATTGAAGGCTTAACCTGTGTAAAGCTCTATATGAAACCAGTGAGATGCATTTCCAGATTTCAAGGATCTCTGAAAGCCAACCAGCTCTTCTGTGTTGCATACCGAACCGCAAACTGCTGGGAAGCTTTGAGCACTTCAGAGTCAGGCTGCCGTGATTCTTCTCAGAGGTTGCCAATGCACTTTCCATTGGAGACATTTGAAGAGCAGCAATATTGTGAAGCTTAGTCTGTGGTGCCTTTGGTTTTGGGACTTTAAAAACCAAGTTTCAGCCCATCAGACACACACACTGGGTGGGCTATGGGTGAAGCAGGACTAGGGACTGAACGTGGCCAGTTTCTGGGACTGAGGTGGAGTAGTGTCGCTGGGTGGGTGGTCCTCACTCAGGTATAGGCACTGCTGCTCCTGGCAGCATGACCATTTAGGAAAGGCCACCCTTCCTATGTAGACTTGTGAGGTCCTCGGTTCCTGCAGGGTGTTCCAGCTAGATGCCGGGCTAAGTGATCAAGGAGGTAAGTCTAGTACGAGCACTGAAAAAGGAGGCCAACTGATGTAAACACTCCACAGGCTCTCCCCTGTTACCTTCCCTTTTATTGTGTTCCCCCATACTCATCACAGTCGTACTCATCCCCTATCCCTCACCCCAGGATACCTGTTCTGTTAATTTCTGGATCCACAGTGCCTGGGACAGTGCTTGGCAAAGGATAAGCACTCAATAAATACCACTGAATGAATGACTGAATGAGTTAATTAACATAATTGCCAATTCTGCCAAAATGCAGACCATGAATGATACATCAGAGAAACAGTCATGGCTTTCTACTGGCAGTGACAGGGCGTAGAAAAAAGCCAGTGCTGCCCTGGAGAAAGTGACTCCGCTGAAGGACACAATGAGATTCAGTAGCCCTGAAGATGCTGAGCTGGGAAGGGAAAACCTGGGTGATTGCTCGGGACAGCAGACATTGAGGGGCTTCTACCTCATATTGTTTGCAGAGAGGCCCAAAATTTAGTATAGGAATGTTTTGTGTTTTAAGCCCTATTTCTCCACCCAGTAAAGTTATGTGGTTTTTAGTTCTTCTATGAGTTCTTCTACTTAGTTATTCCATTGTTATGATTATGCCTGAGAAGACTTTTACATTCATTGTAGAGTAGTATCGCTTTTTTTCCTCAATGATGGATGCTTTATTATCCCAGCCAAAGTGGAAGAACTAAAAACCCCAGTCAGTGGGTAGTCTGGCAGTCAGTATCAAAAACCTTTAAAGTCTTGTCCCCTTTTTGACCTACCAGATCTACTTGTATTGGTTTAGTTAGAAAATAATTGGGGAAGCAAGCAAAATTACATCACATGTTTATGCTTGTGAAAAATTGCAAATAACCTAAGTATCTACCAGTGACGGTTGAATAAATAAATAGGATATATTCATAATAGCAAAATCTTAAATATTATATAGATTTTGTTGATGTGGACAAATGGCCTCAATACATTGCTGTATGAAAAAGCCAGCTAAAAAACCAAAATTTATATTTTCTCATTTTTGCTGAAGATTAATATGATATGTGAGTCAGCATATGCATAAAAAATACATAAAGCTATATAGTACAATATTAACAGTGGTTATGTTTTAATTATGGGACTTGTATAACCTTTGTTTTCTTTCTTTTGTGTGTGTGTGTGTGTGTGTGCGCCAATCCAAGTTTTTTTTTTAATTGAAGTACAGTTACAATGTGTCAATTTCTGATACACAGCACAATGTCCCAGTCAAGCAAATACATAGTATATTCACTTTTATATTCTTTTTCATTAAAGGTTATTACAAGATATTGTATATAGTTCCTTGTGCTATACAGAAATAACTTTTTTTAAATCTTTTTTTATATATAGTGGCTATACCTTTGTTTTCTTATACTTTCTTCTCCAAACCTTGTTGCATAGACATTTATTGCCCCTTTTCAATCTTAAAAATATACTTGGAATAAGAAAATGAGAATAAAGACAAAGATATGCAGATGAGCAGCCAGCCAAGTTTTACACTGACATACCTTTGGTAGGGCGTGGAATCATTCATTGGTTCACTGGGATTTATTGGGAATTTATTGGGAACCAGAGATAAATCAGTTATGGATCGTGCCTTCAAGGATCCCAAGTTGAACTGTTAGATGCCCAAAATACTTTTCTTCTTGATCATTTACTTATACATCTGTATCATTACTTAATGCTTAATAGCAATGTAATTTGCTTTACAAACGGCTATGTGTGTTTTTTTCACTTAACCCAATTGGAGCTCCTCAAAAGCAGCATCTCCTATCTCTACTATCCCCAAATGTCCTTGTACACTGTCATAGAACACAGGATCCTTGGATGTTACTGACTGACTGTGACAAGAAGAATAGGGTGGTATGTGTGAGAACAAGCAAACAAAGCAGAGGGCATCATTAAGCCTTTGTGCTGCTGTGGCTCTGACTGACGGTGACTTCAGGATATTATGTCTTCCACTTGCTTCTAGGTCTTATTCCCCCTTCAGGTGGACAGGCATACATCAATGGATGTGAAATTTCGCAAAACGTGGTTCAAATCCAGAAGAGCATGGGCTGGTTCCCCCAACATGACATCTTGTTTGATAACTTGACAGTAGCAAAGCATCTTTATTTCTACGCTCAGGTGAGTCAGTGGGTGATAGACTTGGGGATGGTAAGATAGCCTGCAGCAGTCTGACTCAACTTGCTCAGAGGGACTTGACACCTCTTATGGATACTATTCCCTAAACAGTCAGGAAAAGGGATGGGTGTGGCATTTAAGATTTTTGAGTTAAAGAGTTCTAAAAGGTAATTTTAATTTTATGTATTTACTTTTTGGGGAGAAAATTCACATAACATAAAATTCATCATTTTGCTTATTTTACAATGTAAAATTCAATAATTTAAAAAATTGTATTCACAATGCTGTTCAACAACCACCACAATTTAATTTCAGAGCATTTTCATCACCCTAAAAAGAAAACTTGGATCCATTAGCAGTCACTCCCCATTATTCCTTTCCCCTAGCCCCTGGCAACCACTAATCTGCTTTCTGTCTCTATGGATTTGACTATTTTGAATAGTTCATATAAAAGGAATCATACAAAATGTGGCCTTTGGTGTCTGGCTTCTTTCACTTAACATAATGTTTTCCCAATTTATCCATGTAGTAGCCAATATCAATACTTCACTCCTTTTAATGACTGAATAATACTCCATTGTATGGAATTGTATGCCACATTTTGGTCATCCTTTCATCAGTTGATGGACATCTGGGTTGTCTGTACCTTTTGGCTTTATGAATAGTGCTGCTATGAATATTAGTCTTCAAGGTTTTGTTTAAATACCTATTTTCAGTTCTTTTGGATAGACCTAGGAGTGAAATTTACAGGTCATAAGGTTTAACTCTGCCTTTAACTTTTTCTTTTTACTTTTTGAGGAACTTACATTTTAGTAGCTATGAAATGGTATCTCATTGTGGTTTTGATTTGCATTTTCCTGATGACTAATGATATGAAATGTCTTTTCATTGGCTTATTGATCATTTGTTTATTTCTTTGGAAAAATGTCTTATTCAAGTCTTTTGCCCATTTTTCAGTTGGGTTGCTTAGCTTTTTATAGTTGAGTTGTGAGAGGTTTTTTTTATATATTCTAGATATTAGACCATTACCAAATATATGATTTACAGAAAATTTCTCCCATTCTATGAATTATCTTATCCCCTTGTTGATAATGCTCTTTGATGCACAAAAGTTTTAAATTTTGACAAAATTCAATTTATCTATTTTTTCTTTAGTTGCTTATGCTTTTGATGTCATATTTTAAAAAACACTGCCTAGGATTTACACCTATGTTTCTTTCTAAGAGTTTCGTAGTTTTAGCTCTTACATTTAGGTCTTTGATTCATTTTGAGCTGATTTTTTTTACATGGTGTGAGGTAGGGGTCAAATTCATTCTTTTGCATGTGGATAGCCAGTTGTCCAGCACCACTGGACTGAGACTATTCTTTCCCCACTGAATGGTCTTGGCACATATATGGTCACGTCTGGGAGAGTCTCAAGTGAAAAGCTTCTGTGTCCTCAGAATGCATCACCCTCCTAAGCACAGCACTATATAGAGGGTAACTCACCTAAGATTCAAGTGTCCAGTTTTTATTGGAGTTTCATTACATAGGCATGAATGATTGAATCATGGGCCTCGTGACTGAACTCAATCTGCAGCCTTCCCCTGCCAGCAGGTTGAGAGGTCAGATTGATATCATGGCTCAAAACCTCAACCCTCTAATCACATAGGTTGGTCTTTTGGGTGCAACCAGCCCAGATCCTGTGTCACTTCATTAGCATAAATTCAGGTGTGGCCTGAGGGTACTACCATAAATAACAAAGACACTCCTATCATTCCAAGGATTTAGAGGCCCCTCCCAGTAACTGGGGACAAAGGCCAGCCAGATTCTTTATTATATCATACTTACCCATTAATTTTCTTTTAATTGAAGTACAATCAATTACAGTGTCAATTTCTGCATGCATATACATATATATTCATTTTCATATTTTTTCATTAAAGGTTATTACAAGATATTGAACAT